TGTTGTTATTTCATAGCGCAGCCCCGTGGAGTCTTCACAAGCTTGCAGTGGATAAAAAAGATTTGCCTTTGTAAAGTCAAGGAGAAACTTTGGCAGCATCTCTGGAGAGAGAAAGGAGGTTATTGTTTTGAGACTGGTATGGCTCTTGTTTGGAAGGGAAACACTGTCCTTGGTTGAATCTAGGCACCAGATCTCCAAGGCCAGTGGTCTGCATAAAAGCTATGATCAGAGAACACTGATTGTGTGAGCAAGCAGTCCACCTGTAAATGATGGAGTACAGGAGGGATCCATTACCTGTACGTGGCACATTTCATAAAGTTTAATGTGGTGTGATCAGATGTTGAGTGTCCAGTAGAATTACACAGCAGGAAAGCACAGGGAAGTGGCATTATAAAGACTGTGGTAGTCTCCAAAATAGCAAACAACAGTGCTTCAATCTTGAATGACAGCCTTACTGTTATAATAGGCAAAGCAGTAAAATGTGAAAATGACACACACTGACCCAGCTTCAAAACGGAGCTCCAATATGTTCAGTATGTTCAAAGATCAAAGAGCATTACAGCACAGGAACAGGCTCTTTGGCCCATCAAACCTGCACCAACACGTAATAACTTTCCAAACTATAAACCTTTTGCATCCATGCAGTCTGTATTCATCTACTCCCTGCCTATTTATGTAATTGTCAAGATACCTCTTAAATATTGCTATTGTATCAGCTTCATTTTCAAATATTTTCCCCTTGGGGGTGCTAGGGAATAGGATTGGTTAGTAGAGGGTTTGATATGGGTGGGGGCAGGGCTTATAGGTGCATGCTGTTGAGTTAGATTATAAGACCATAGGAAGAAGTAGGCCATTCAGCCCATCAGGTTTTCTTCGCCATTCAATGAGACCATGATAGTTCTCGACTCGAGTTTCCTGACTTTTACCTATAAATCTTGACTCTCTTACAGATTAAAACTGTCTATCTTGAAATATATTTGACCTCCCAGCCTCGCTAGACCTCTACAATGTAAAGACCTCTGTAAAGAACTCCACAGATAAATCACCCTTTGAGATAAACAGTTCCTTCTCATCTCTCTCTTATGTGTGCGACCCCTCACTCTGAGATTATGCCCTCAGGTCCTAGACTCTCCCACAAGGGGAGACAATCTCTGCATATCTACCTTGTCAAGTTCCCTAAGAATCTTAAACACAGAAATTACTGGATAAGCAGGTCTGGCAGCACCTGGGGAGGGAAATCAGAGTTAACATTTCTGGTCAAATGACCCTTCCTCAGAACTGATGGTAGCTAGGAAAATGTTGGTTTATATGCAGAAGATAAGGTGGAGGGAGGGGATAAGGAGTAAATGATAGGTGGGGATAGAGCCCAAATAGAGAGAAGAACAGTTGGACAGACATGGGAGTTGATAACAATATGGCTCGGATGAAGAATAGCTATTAATGGGGACTGTTAGTTGCTAACAATAGGTAGTGTGTAATGGCAGGCTGTGTAGTAACAAGGCTTGCTGTGTGGGGTAGGGGGCTGGGACATAGGACAGTTTAGGCCCTAAAATGATTGAACTCGATACTGAATCCGGAGGGCTGGAGGGTCCCCAAGCGGAAAATGAGGTGTTGTTCCTCCAGCTTGTGCTGAGCTTTGCTGGAACACTGTAACAAGCCAGAGACGGAGATGTTGGCCAGGGAACAGGTGGTGTGTAGCAGGCAACTGGAAGCTCAGGGTATTTTTTGCAGGCAGAGCGTAGATATTCTGTGAAGTGATCACCCAGCGTACACTTTGTTTCTCCAATGTAGAAGAAACCACATTGTGAGCAGCGAATGCAGGAGCCTAGATTGTGGGATGTACAGGTAAAGGGCTGCTTCACCTGGAAGGTGTGTTTGGGCCCTTGGATACTGGGGAGGGATGAAGTAAACAGGTGTTAACACCTTTGGTGATTGCAGAGGAAGGTGCCATGACGCTGTGGGGTGGGGGGTGGGGTGGTGGCGCAGTGGGGGGAGATTGTTGGGAGGGAGGGAAGAGTGGACCAGAGGGAATGGTCTCTGTGGAAGGCTGACAAGGGAGGGGAGGGGAATATGTGTCTGGCGGTGGCATCTCGCTGGAGGTGGCGGAAATGGTGACTAATGATCCTCTGGATGTGGATGCTGATGGGATGGTAGGTGAGAACGAGAAACTCTTTATTGCTGTTCTGGGAGGGGAGAGAGACGGTGAGGGCTGAAGTGCAGGAACTGGGTCAGACCTGGCTAAAGGCCCTGTTAACAACGGGGCTGGGGAATCCTCGGTTGAGGAAGAAGGTAGACATTTCGGAGGCTCCCTTGTCGAAGTTGGCCTCATTGGAACAGATGCAGTGGAGACAGAGGAACTGAGAGAATGGGATAGAACCTTTACAGGAAGCAGGGTGTGAGGCTGTATAGTCCAGGTATCTGTGGGAGTCAGTGGGTTTATAGTGGATATTGGTGGCCAGTCTATCCCCAGAAACTGAAACAGAGATGTCGAGGAAGGGAAGAGAGAACTCAGAGATGGACCAGGTGAAAGTGAGGACAGGGTGAAAATTGGAAGAGAAATTGATAAACTTTTCCAATTCCAGACGAGAGAGGGAAGCAGCACCGATGATATCACCGATATACCGGTGAAAGAATTGCGGGTGAGGACAGGAATAGGACTGGAACAAGGAATGTTCCACGTACCCCATGGAGAGACAGGCATAACTGGGGCCCATGTGGGTACGCATGGCCACCCCCTAACCTGAAAAAAGTGGGAGGAGTTAAAAGACAAGTTGTTCAGGGTGAGGATGAGCTGTGCCAGACAGAAGAGGTTGTTGGTGGTAATGATTCAGGGAGAAATGGAGAGCCCTGAGACCATCCTGGTGGGGGATGGACGTGTAAAGGGATTGCACGTCCATGGTAAAGAGGAGGCGGCTGCAGCCCACGAACTGGAAATTCTGAAACTGATGTAAAGTGTGAGAGGAATCGCAGATATAACTGGACTGGGACAGAACCAGGAAAGAAATGATGAGTTCTGTGGGGCAGGAGCAGGCAGAAACAAAAGGTCTGCCTGAGCAGTCCTGTTTGTGGATTTTGGGAAGGAGGTAGAAGCGAGCTGTGTGGGGTTGGGGGACTATCAGCTTGGAGGCAGTTGGGGGGAGGTCACCAGATAATATGAGGTTGGTGACCGTAATTGATACAATGGTCTGGTGTTCCATGGATAGGACAAGGTATATGAGAGCTGGCGCTCAGCCTCTGCAATGTAGAGGTCAGTCCACCAGACAGCAACAGCGCCGGTCTTGTCAGCAGGCTTAGTTATAAAGTCAGGTCTATAAGAATCTTGCACATTTCAATATGACAGCGCCACATGAAAACCCAGATGGTACAAAACACACCTGCATAATTCATTCTCTGAAGAAGGGTCCAGACCGGAAACGTCAGCTTTCCTGCTCCTCTGATGCTGCCTGGCCTTCTGTGTTCACCCAGCTCCACACTGTGTTATCTCAGATTCTCCAGCATCGGCAGTTCCTACTATCTCTGCATAATTCATGGCCACCCAACCTCCACACTCCTCCCCCCGCCCCCCACCCCCACTCACCCAAACAACCACCCACAGCACCCCCCCCACCTGGTTAATATCAAGGCTATGGTTTCCAGACCTAGTGCGAAGTGTTTTATCTGTAATTACATTCAGCGGCAGGATAATGCTCAAATTGTCCCGATTATATCCATTCTCCACTTTTTAACACCACTTTAATTGCCTCCAACGAGAGCAGACATTTTCAACGCTAATTAAATTTAGGCGCCTTGAAAACGGAAAAAGACAAAGATTTTAACACCATATAAATCTTCAATTTAATTCATCTTCAACTATTACCATGTTAAGGTATGTCAAAGTCAGTTTATGGGGGAACTTGAGGCCTCTTCTCAGATTACAGCATGAGCTGGAATTTTCTGGAATTCCCCTTTCATTTCCTGGCCTGTGACTGGATTCTCCTGTCTGAGGTCAGTAATCTCACCAACTTTCCTTAGATTTTAGTAGCCAGCCCTGACAATTTTCTTCCTTCAATAAATCATGGAATGATTCAGCAAAGAAACAGATCATTCTGCCTATCTTGCCTGTGACAGCTCTTCAAAAACACTGTTCAATTATAGTCACAACCCACGAGTTTCCATCCTATTCTGTAGCTTTTTCCCTTCAACTTTTTATCTATTTGGGAGCGACTGTTGAATTTACTTCCATCACTCCTTTTCACAGCATTCCACATTTCCTCATGTTGCTTCTAGTTCTTTTTCCACATTGTTACACTTTGCCCATATGTTCGCTACGAGTATCACTTCTTGTATGCTTTATGTGTGGAATCGTATTGAATATATTCTATATACAGCAAACTTTGTTTTAACCAGCACCTTATGAACCAGCGCTCTTGATAAAATGACAAAAAACTATATACCTGAAATACCACAAAGTTTACGGTATTAACACCATCTTGCGATGTCTGAGTGGTCAGTTGAGGGTGCAAGTGAGAAGTTGTCTTATTATTCAAGTGATTGATGCTATAAGTAAAATAAAGCAGTCATGTGTGTTCTCCCTACATTACAAGCGAGTGTTTTTTTAATGTATGGAGGTGATGGCTTAGTGGTATTATCACTAACCTATTAACCATAAATTCAGCTAATGATCTGGGAACAAAAACAAAGTTGTTGGGAAAGCTCAGCAGGTCTGGCAGCATCTGGGAAGGAAAAAAATGGAGTTAACCTTTCTTGAGGAAGGTTCACTGGACCCAAAACGTTAACTCCGTTTTTTCCTTCACAGATGCTGCCAGACCTGCTGAGCTTTTCCAGCAACTTTGATTTTGTTCCTGATATACAGCATCTGCAGTTCTTTCAGTTTTTAATGATCTGGGGATCTGGGTTCAAATCCTGCCATAGAAGATGGTGGAATTAATGGTCTAATGAAGACAATTGTTGGGGAAAACCTTAACCAGTGTCTTTTGGTGAAGGAAATCTGTCATTCTTACCTGGTCTGTGGTTGACTCTTAACTGCCCTCTGGGCAATAAATGCTGGCCGAACCAGAAATGCCTACATCCAGTGAGTGAATATAAAAAAGAAAATTGATTAGTGGACCATTTGATCAACCAGCACACTTCTGATCCCACAGAGTAATAAAACATTTGCTGTAAATGCATTCATGATTGTTTTACTCTAAAACCTGCCAACGTTTCACTGCACCTTGGAACGTGTGGGCAGATAATTGTTTATTTCATACTTCTAAGTCTGTGTACTCCCCTCTTCACATTTCTCAACAGTGCCAAATGAACTTCTCCATATGGATCTCCTAATGTTTAAATCAACCTCGATGTCTTTTGGTTTGTTATCAATTTTTTTTTTCACAAACTTGTTATTAAATTCCATCACTGGACTTACGTTTTTCTGAGACTCTAGGGAATGATGTATCGCTCCTCCTAGCTGGTCCTCCTCAATGTTTCTGCGATTGAACTTTGCTTTGTCTGTCATGATCAAATTTCTTTCTCAAGGCTGCTTCTTAAAAACTTATTAGGATCAGAAGTGAATTTTCATCAGACTGTGCAAAGATACTATTCATATATATGATAGCAAAGCAGAAAGTCATTTCCTTATGAATGACTGATCACAGAACTCAAATACTTTATCTGACAGTCCATTACTAGCACTTAGTATTACATTTATTTTAAATGAATATAATTGCTTTAAGCAATTCCAAGCATGACACAAAATATAATTTTACTGTATAGAAATTTGTTTTACAATGTTTGCACATTCTTTCTTTTCAAGGTCATGGACTTTTTAAATTGGTATATTTAATTCATCCTTCCCACAGAGTTCAATTTTGCAAAAAGCTTAATTTTAGTTAAACAGAGCGCAATGATTCATAACAAACTCACAAATTTAATGATATACAAAAGGATATATAGTGAGGGGGGGTTACAAATGAAAATTTTGGTGCAAATATTAGCTAGGAGAGCTGAGGAGACCCAGAGTAGGCCAGGCAGCTCTGCTATTCAGTAAGATCATGGTTGATCCGATTTTAACCTCCACTTTATGTTCCTGCATACCCTTGATAATCTTTCACCCCTTGGTAATCAAGAACCTATCTCACTCTGCCTTAAAAATATTTTAAGCTCTGCATCCACTGAATCTTCGAGAAGGGAATTTCAAAGATTCACAAACAATCTGAGAGGAAAAAAATGTTTCCTCATCTCTTGGGACATTTTATTTTTAAACTATCACCTCCCGTTCTAGACTCTCAAAAGAGGAATCATCCTTTCTCCATTCATCCAGTCAAGTCTCCTCAGGATCTTATATGTTTCTATTAAGTCTAACTCTTGTAAAGTCCAGACGATACAAGCCCAGCCTGTCTGGCCTTTCCTCATAAGGCAATTTGGAAACGTTAACTTCACAAAGATTTGCTCCACAAAATCACCTAGATGTTAAATCAGAGTAAAATCCAGTCTTTTTTTTCTGAGGAGAAATTGTTGGAGACGCTTTGAGTGCAAGGCAGTTGGAATATAAAAGTAAGGAAGTCTTGGTATATTTATACAGGACTGAATCTTATCAGAAATTGGCTAAGTGTCATTTTCAGTGAATTTCATGGAGGGTTTCTCTTTGCTAAGCCTAATGGCTTTTCTCGTGCTATTTTCTCAAATTCACCTCATTACCAATGCACCCTGCCACTAATATGCCCCATTCGTCCTATTCTCTTGCTCTCTGTAGGTGGAGGTATTCATCACCGTTGGGTTATGACATGATTCCTGGTGCTAGTGCCAGCAGTGAACAACCTTTGTGTAACTGCTCAAGTGTTGTCAGGCCAAAGGCTGTTCAGCATGGTTCATGTCATGCTTTGGACATGGTTGGCATGGGAAAACTGGCATCCCACGTCACGGACAGAGATTTGGAGATCCTGGTGGACAGGATGGTGCAGAAGAGTGCTTTGCTTTTTCTCCAGGACTGTCAAAGGAGGCCACAACAGTAGACCCTGCAAAAAACAAAACCCACAGAACTGTGGATACTGGAAATCTGAAACAAAAATTAGAATTGCTGCAGAAACTCAGCAGGTCTGGCAGCATCTGTGGAGACAGAAACAGAGTTAACGTTTTGGGCCCAGTGACAGAACAGTTCTGAAGAAGGGTGACAGGGCTCAAAATGTTAACTCTGCTTTCTCTCCACAAAAGTTGCCAGACCTGCTGAGTTTCTCCAGATCCTGTCAATCTGGTACAAAGTTGTCACCCAGGTCAATGTGGTCTCCATGGTTTGGAGAAAGGACCAGGTTCATGAGCTTCTCTGGTTGGCCAAATACTCTCATCCTCTCTCTGCTACCTCCCATTCACTCTGTCTCTGCTATTGCATTCACCTCCCACTAAGGGTCATGTTCTAACTCTACCACATGCAACATTTTCCCTTGCTCTCTTTTATCCCTCCCAATACCCCTCACTACAAACCGTGCATGGCCTCTATACCTCCTGCTCACTCACTCAGGACACTATACCACCTTCTCCCACCTATGTCAGCACTAACAGCTGTGCCAGCCACTCTCAGCTCACTCATTAAAAAGCGCAGCATGCTCAAGAGGTTGAATTGTCCATGCTTGCTCCTAATTCTTATGTTTTCAGTCCCTCCCTTTCAGTCATTTTATCTCATTCCAGGAGAGAACGGTCCACAATAGTGCAGATATAGCTGAGGCAGATGGTGGGGTATCCAACATTCAGCTTCTCATCCCCTCTGAGGAGAAGATCCTGGTGCTGGTTGGTAAGGAAGGAGCCTCATGTGGAAATACCAAAACCCTCTGTGCCCTGACAACCAATTAAGAAGCATTTTCCATTGGTCACTCTGAAGGTATTCACATGCCCAAATGTCTGCACCTTGCTCCTGATGCATTCTCTCCTTTATCTCCGACAGGCGCCCGTTTCAACAGCACAGTCAGACAGCCAAGAGACTAGTCCCACTCGACATCTCCTTCTCTACCTTTGAGGAAGAATAGACAGAAGCCTCAGAGGAAACATGAGCAAGCCCATCTTCTGCAACCCCCTCCCCACACCCACACCACCAGCTCAGACACTGATAGCTCGATGGCTACATTAGATAGTTTTGAGTTGTGATGCCAAGAGCATGGGGTCAATTCCTGTGCTGGCTAAGGTCATAAAGAAAGTCATGTCTTCTCAACCTCACTCCTATACCTTAGGTGTGGTGACCCGCAACTTAAACACTAATGAGAGAGTTGGACTATGGTGACTTTATTAGATAACAACATAAAATATTTTTTTTCGGGTTACCAAAGTGAACAATTAAACACTTTATCTGTATCAGATTTTCGATAACAGGATTTATTTACCAAGTTTCTTAATGAACACGATTATTTGTTTATTATCAAAAGAAAACTTACTCAAAGTTGCAGCAATAATTGGTTAACATTTGCAGGCAATAATATAGACAAAATAATACCTACTTTTCTAAATCTCCCCAAACACACGCACAAACCCAAACATATATCTAGACAGCTTGCTCAGGAAACACAATCTTAAGATGTTTCTCCAGTCATCCTTTCAAAAGAATACTTAGGTTTCATCCTGAACTCAAAAAGAGGGTTTTATTTTCAGAAACATCAGAGAGATCATATGGGCACCTTGTTCTTAACAGGCTTCCCTCCGACTGTACCGGTTAAAACAAACACCTCACCACGTCAGTCACTAAACAAACCAGTCCCATCAATGGCCTACAGCAAATCAAGTAGTTATCATCAGACTTATGGATTGGCAAAAAGGAAGATGGTTGTGATGGCTGGAGGTCAGTCATCTTAGCTTTAAGACATCTTTGCATTAGTTCCTCAGCATAGTGTTCTTGGCCTAACCATCTTCATCAAGGACCTTCTGACCATCATAAGGTCAGAAGTAGGGATGTCCACTAGGGACTGCAAATGTTCAGCAGTATTTGTGGCCTTTCAGATACTGTCTGTGACTAAATGCAACAAAATCTGGACAATATCAAAACTTGGGCTGACAACCAGCAAGTAAATTTTGTACCATGTGAGTGTCAGGCAATGACCATCTCCAACAAGAGAGGAGTTAACCATTGCTGCTTGATATTCAATAACATCACCATCTCTGAATCTCTCACCATCAATATCTTGAGGGTTGCCCTTTGTGCCTTGCCCAGCTTTGAATTGCAGTACACTCCCTTGAAAAGCTGCAAGCTAGAATGAAGCTTTGTCTCTAGAGACGTGTGGAATCATCACTGATTCCATTTTCTCACTTACAAGGTGTGTGTGGAAGATATGTGCAGGGCAGACCTAGCACAAACCCTGCATGAGGCTTGTAGTGTCAGTGTTGTCCACATTAGTGCAACATTTTGGTTGCAATCATCAATGACATGACTCAAGGTTCTCAGATGCCTGAGGCTATCATCAGTCGGAGTCAGCTGCTTGTGAGAGAAGAGGAACTCTTGGCTGTTACATCTTCTTCTAACTTTGGGAGATTTGAAGAGGCTGCTCCTAAATTAATTCCAGGGTTTGAGCAGTTTAGCCTTGAACTCTTTAGAGTTTGGAAGGATGAGAAAAGATCTAATTGAGGGATATAAGATGCTAAAGGGGATTGACAAAGTAGGTATAGAGTGGATGATTCCCTTTGTGGGGTAATCTGGAATGAAAGGTAGTAGTTTTGAGCTAAGAGCTGGCAGTTTTAAAAGAGAGATAAAGAGGAATTACTTCTGTCAAAGGATTGTGAATCTGTGGAAGCCGGCATACTGAATAAGGTTAAGGAGTCGGAGGAGATAGACAGATTTCTAATTAGTAATGTATTAAAGTGTTATGGAGAGCAGGCAGGAAAGTGAATTGGAGGCTGAGTATAGATCAACATGATCGTATTAAATAGCAGAGCAGGGTTGAGGAGCTGAATTGTCAGAGGTTGTTGCCTTGCTCGCCAAGCTGGCTTGCTTTTGTTCAGACGTTTCGTCACCATGCTAGGTGACATCATCAGTGGGTCTCCGATGAAGCGATGTTATTCTACTCTGGTTGGAATTTATACTGTCCGGTCCTTTATGGTGAGTACTGTCATTTCCGGTTCTGTTCTGTATGGGTTTATATATGGGGTCTAATTCTATATGTTTGTTGATTGCATTACAGGTGGAGAACCATGTTTCTAGGAATTCCCGTGTGTGTCTATGTTTGGCTTGGGCTGCTATGGTTACGTTGTCCCAGCTTCATCGAAGGCCTCACTGATGATGTCACCTAGCATGGAAACAAGCCAGCTCAGCAAAAGCAAGTCATCAACCTCACCCACAACCTGAGCAAATAGTCTTTGCTAAAATGTTAAAAGGCTAAACTGTCTGCTTCTGCTCCTTGTTCTTATATTCATCTCTCAAATGGGTGCAACTTAGCCAGCTCTGACAGTGAAAAAGGCATTATAGCAGGCATTTTAAGAGTGCAAGTGCCATATATATTTACAGAAGTGCAAGATAATGTGTAATGAATGTGTCACCTATGCACCCTCAGCTATTTTTATTCATTGCTTTGCTCCCACTGCGTCCTAGTGCTGTCCCGAATTCTGCAACTGAGGTGGAGGGAACCTACTGTGTGGTCAGCTGTTCACATCTCTCCTCCCTCCCTTAGAGCACTGTGTTCACCAGTAGAAGCTGCAGAAAGCATTCCATCTCTCTCTTACTGCTCTGTAGGATGCTCAAATATTTCAGGGCAACTTAACTATCTACACAAAATTGGAAGCACTGAAGGTCAGCTAATGGTGGAGCGGTCAAAAGTAGCTGCCTTAGGTCTTTTGTTAGCCAATTGCCTACCTAGGGAAACTTTCCTGCACAACACTCAGGTAACAATTGCTGACTGAAGCCTTTAAAACTGTTTTGCCACGCAATATCAGTGCCCAGATTTAGTGACTGCTTAATGGTGATTACAAGTGTAATGTATAAATACTGGAAAGTCCAAAGATTTTCAGCATCCAATCAAATGGATTAAAAAGAAAGTTATTCAGCAACAGGGAAGGACAAGAACTGTAAAGCCAAGCAGGTTCGTGTGTACTTTGGTTTAAGCAGGAGGCTTGTCACTCTCAATGACAGATAGCTCTGTCATATTCTCTTGGGTGTCTTTCCTGGTCAATGTCTTGCTCCTCACTCTTGTCTTCACCGTCAGAAATTGCTGTCAATCGCCGATTTCCTTTGCATCCAAGACATTTTCACTCAGCAGTTTGAGAAACAGGGGAATCTGTGTCAGGATTTTTGACTAGGTTAAAATGTCCAGCAGAGACATATGACTTTGGTTTAACCCTTAATGAGATGCTGAGAGACCATTCAGTATGTGGGATTAGTGATGTAACCATGCAGAAGTGCCTACTAGCTGAAGCCCAACTGGACTGCAAACAGGCACTACAACTGGCTTTATCGTTAGAAAATGCGATAAATGGAGCACATGAGTTGCAGGGTATTCTGACGGAAGTGGACACCTTCATCAGTCTGACTGGGCTTGAGGAACACCACTTGAGGAAGACAATTCCATAGACTTACGCAGGACGTATCCTGAACAGAGGGACTCCAGGTCAGCCCACAGCAAAACCTCACAACAAAACCAAGCCCCAGCTAAATGGTTAAAAGTTTCTTCATGATCCATACTCGAGATAGCAAAAGAGTTCCAATAGACCTAAATCAAGTGAAAGAACTCATAGGCCAGTATCCAGGAGAGTACACACCCTGGGAATTCCATCTACATCTGATTTGGAACAGTTAAATTGTTTAGCAACATCCAAATCAGAGCCAATCAAAACAAACATCTGGTTAAATGGTCACCCAGTTCTAATAGAGGTCAATACCAGTGCAGCCGTTTCAGAGATTGCAGAACCAGTTTTTAACAAAATTCGCTCTGGACTCCAACTCTACACCGCGAGTGGTACCACCACTGGAACAGTCCATTGGATGCAGAAAGTTCGGTCTTCGCCAAACTGAAAGAACTGCTGCTGATGGGGGAAACCAAAAGACCATCATAACCAGAACTGAAACCTTTTTGTACCCAGAGATACCAGATCACAATAGAGGACGGCAATTATTATGGGGAGCAAGAGTGATTGTCACGAGTAAAGGTCGCTGCCAGATACAGGCTGAACTCCACTAGGGTCATCTAGAGGTTTCCAAAATGAAGGTGTTGGCGAGAAGTTCTGTTCGGTGGCCAGAATTGGATGCAGACATTGCTGTGTGGTGGGGCAGTGCCCAGAGTGCCAATAAGGAGAGAAATTAGCACCAGCAGCTCCTCCACATTCATAGACATGGCCGGGTAAACCCTGGACTTGATTACATGTCAACTGTGCTGGTCCTTTCATGGGTTCAATGTTCTTAGTCATTGTAGATGTCCACTCAAAATGACTGGATGAGCGTAGAGTTCATCCATCAAACACAGGGACAGTGATTGAAAACTGCACATGTCTTTTGCAATACATGGACTCCAAGAACTGTTGGTCACAGATAAAAGGCCATCGTTTACCAGCAGGGAATAAAATTGAATGGTATTTGTCAAATAAAGACAGTTCCATACCACCCATCATCCAATAGTCTGCCAGAAAAGCAGTCCAAATTTTGAAGGCAAACTTAAAGAAACAGCCTGCAGCTTCATTACATACCGCACTGCCCTGGTTCCTTTTTAATTATAGGCTCAGCCCTCATGCAACTACAACAATAGCTCCAGCAGAGTTGCTAATGGGGAGAAGACGCTACACCAGGTTAAATCTGATCCTGAATGCTGGACACAAGACTCTGCTAAGTGAGAAAGACAGTTTACTTCAGGCAAGTTTAGTGTAGGAACCATGGGAATGCCCTACATGGGTGAGAGGCATGGTCAATGCCAACTCAGGTCCAGTGACATATAAAGTTCAGGTAGGTACAATGTTCCTAAGAAGGCACGTGGACTATGTGAAAGCTGCAGACTCACAAACTGTGCATGAGAAAAATGTGCCCAGTTCCTCATAGCCTTTCAGACTGT